GCCCTTTGGCTCCTGGGGGAGACAGATAAGGTACAACTGAGGGGTTTATAATAATACAAATAGGCAACATTTATTGAGCACTTATTCTGTGCCAGCCCCCCACTAAATGCTTGCAATTCATTCATTTAATTTTCATAGCCCACTTATGGGTAGAAACTATTATCCCAATTTACAGATGACAAAACTGATACTCAAGGTAGTTACTACATCTTTGTGCAAGGTGATCAGTGGCTGAGCTAAGTTTCAGACCCCAGCAGTTCTGGCTGTAGAGACTGTACTCCTAACCACTACACATACTGCCTTGAAGTGCACTGTAGAGTTGGTAGTGGGGGCTACAATGTGGTAGAAATGAGATGATTCTCTAAGAGCAGACAGGCAATCATCATCATCAGCACATAATGCAAAGGAAATTCACCCCAGAATGGTTTGTCAAAGTGCTTCTAATAAGATTTGGGAAATATCTAGTTGATCAGAAGGAAATGTAGGGAAATGTAGTAATAATAAAACTGTTATGGACCCCTCATCCATTGTTGATGGGATTGTAAAACTGTACAGCCACTGTGGGAAACAGTTTAGTGGTTCCTCAAAAAGTTAAACAGAAATACCATATGATCCAGCAATTCCACTCTTGTGTATACCCAAAAGGCTTGAAAGCAGGGACTCAAATAGATACTTGTATACCAATGTTCATTGCAATGTTATGCATAATAACTAAAAAGGAAACAACCCCAGTGCCCATCAACAGATGGAAGGATAAATAAAATGTTGGCATACACGTACAATGGAATATTATTCAGCTATAAAGAGAAGTGTAGTCCTGATACATGCTACAACATGGATGAACCTTGAAAACATTACGCTGAATGAAATAAGTCAGTCACAAAAGGAAAAATATTGTATGATACCACTTACATGAAATATCTAGACTAGGCAAATGTATAGAGAACAAAGTTTATTAGTGGTTACCAGTGGTTGCCAGGGACAGGAGGGGAAGGGGGAAAGAGTCATTGCTTATGGGGCACTAAGCATCTGTTAAAGGCGATGGAAACATTTGGAAACACATAATGGTGATGGTTGCACAATATGATGAACGTGGTTAATGTTAATTGTACAAGTAAAAAATGTTGAGATGGCAAATGTTTTGGTGTGTGTATGCTTACCACAATAAAAAATGATAATAGGATATTTGAAAAATCAGAAAAAAGAAAACTTTATTATGAAGATGTGTGTAATGTGGTCTTGTCTGCTTGAAGTAGGGGATGCGACAATAAGGTCAGTATTAATCCAGCACTGTTGCCATTTATCACACATTTTTTTAAGTGTCTATGAGACTCTCCTGTATCCCAGATGCTGTAATAGGTGCTGAGAAAACATAGGCATAGTTTCTGCATTTGGAGAGTTTATAGTCTCTACTCATTAGCAAGCTTTTGTTTGCATCTAGTTTAGACAATGAGAGAGATATTTATCTTACATAGTAGGAAGCCCAAAGGTTAGGCAGGCTTCAGGCAACTTGTCATTGTTTTCAAGACTCTGGTACTTTGCATCTTCTGGCTCTGCCGTTTGTTGGCTCCATCTTCAGGCTGGGAGCCAGATGATTCAGCATTTCCAAGTTCACATCTAGGCAATATCCAGAGGAAGAAGGGAGACAATCTTCTCCTGTATCTCCTTATGAGTAAGGAGAGTTTTTGAAGCTTTGAGGTCTCTCAGCAGGCTCCGCCTCATTTCTCATTAGCTAGAGTTAGGTCAGATGTTCTAGGGGAAATAGGTTTACTGTGCTTAACTTAGATGAATTATCTTGGGGTGGAATGGATGGGTCTGGGAATCAACCACAATGACCATTACATGGTTTATTTCTACTGCCTAGCAGATAGCAAGCAAAGAGGTGGTGAGCATACAGCATAAAAATGCCTGTTGAAAACACACTATGAGAGCACAGAGGGAGGGCTTGGAAAGGGCCTGAAGTGGGGCCAGGCTTCCTGAAAAAAATAACCATTGGATTTGAGTCTTGAAAGTTATAAGTAGAAATTTTCTAAGGTGAAGGGAGGGGGAAATGAGATAAGGAAGCCAGAGCTGGAGAGGGGAGAGGTTTATCCAGAGACAGAAATAGTGTCTAAAGCAATGATTCTGCTCAAAGTAGGGTCTCCAGACCAGCAGTATCAGCATCACCTGGGACTTGTTAGAAATGCAGATCTTCCTGGCCTCACTTGAGATCTACCGACTCAGAAACTCTGTGGATGGGGCCCAGCAATCTGTGTTTTAACAGCTGTCCAGGTGATTCTGATACATGCTCAAGTTTGAAAACCACTGATCTAAAGGTATGAGGATGTCAGAGTGTTGAATTGTGTGTACTTCATTATCTCTAGCTGAAGGGAAGTGGTAGGAAGGGAGTGGTGAGAAATGAGGCTGGAGATGTAAGCCATTGTATAAAAGAGAGGAAGAATTTTAGAGAGTTTTACTCCATTTTGGGATACGAGTAGTACCTTGTTTATTTGTTAATCAACAAGTATTTGTTGAACATTTACTCTGTTAGGTGGGAATGCAAAAATGAATAATTATACTTTGAGATGAATGAAAATGAAGATGCAGCATAACCAAAAGTTATGGGATGCAGCTAAAGCAGTGCTTAGAGGGAAATTTATACCTGGAAATCAGTAAAGATCTAAAATCAATAACCTAACCTTCCATCTTAAGAAACTAGAAAAAGAAGAGCAAATTAAACCTAAAGCAAGCAGAAGAAATAATGAAGATTAGAGTGGAAATAAATGAAATAGGGAATAGAAAACAATAGAGAACATCAACAAAACCAAAAGTTGGTTCTTTGAAAAGATTAAAAAAAAAAACCTTTAGCTAGACTGACCAAGAAAAAAAAAGAGAGAAGACTCAAATTACCAAAATCAGGAATGAAAGACAGAATGTTATTCCCAGTCTTACAGAATGACCATAAGGGAATAATTGTGGACAATATATGCCAACAAATTAGACAACTTTGGTGAAATGGACAATTTCTAAAACAGACATAGACTACCAAACTAAGGTAAGAAGAAATAGAAAATCTGAATAGAAATATAACAAATAAAGAGATTGAATTAGTAATTTTAAAACTTCCCACAAAGAAAAGCTGAGTGCCAGATGGCTACACTCGTGAATTCTATCAAACATTTAAAGAAGATTTCATACCAATTCTTTACAAAATTCCAGAAAATAAAAGAGGAGGGAATAATTCCCAACTCATTCTATGAGGCCTGTGTTATTACCCTGATACCAAAAATAAAGATATCACAAGAAAACAACAAAACTACAGACTATTATGAATATAGTTGTAAAAATGTTCAACAAAATACTAGCAAAACAAGTCCAGTAACATACAAAAGGGATTATACACAATGACAAAGTGAGATTTATCCAAAGGATGAAAGATTGGTTTAACATTGGGAAATCAATTCATGTAATACACCATATTGATAGAATTAAGGGGGGAAAAATCCCCCACAGGATCATCTCAATAGATGCAGAAAAAGCATTTGACAAAATCCAACACCCCTTCATGATAAAAACACTCCACAAACTATGAATACAGGGAACTGTCTAAATCTGATAAAAGCCACCTACTAAAACCCCATAGCTACCATCATACTTGATGGTGAAAGACTGAATGCTTTCCTTCTAAGGACAAGAAAATGATGTCTGTTCTTGCCACTTCTATTCAACATTGTACTGGAGGTTCTAGCCAGGACAACTAGGCAAGAAAATAAAATAAAAAGCATCCAGACTAGAAAGGAAGGAGTAAAACTGTATTTGCGGTCTATAGAAAATCCTAAAGAATCCACTAAAATGGAATAATTAAAGTATATTTGCTACCTTCAAGTGCTATAATAGTGTATATGTGTGAGTATTGTGGGAGGAGGAAATATTTCCCACAAGGGGATATATATTTCAGCTAGGTCCACACTGAGTATGTAAACGTTTAGACAGGAGATTGCAGAGTGGATGATGAGGGTAGGGTGGGGCAGGCATTTCATGCAGAGAGAATATACACAGGTGTGAAACAGACGGGGCAGTGATGAATTACGAGTGTGACTAGAAAGTTGAGTTATGTGGGGGCAGTGGTGGGAGAGAGGGTTAGAGAGGTGAGCAAGGTCCAGATCACAAAGACCTGTATATGCCATGTCAAGAAGTTTGAACTCTACAGGTAGTAAGGATGGCTAAGGGTTTTAAGTAGGAGAGTTTGGACCAATACATGCTCATGTTCCGAAAAAAAAAAACCTTTTGCCATGGATTCGATTCCAACCCATAGCGACCCTACAGGACAGAGTAGAACTGCCCCATAGGGTTTCCAGGAAGCAGCTGGTGGATTAGAACTGCTGACCTTATGGTTGGCAGCCGAAGCTCTTTTTTTTTTTTTTTTATTATTGTAGTTTAGATGAAGTTTACATTTCAAGTTGGTCTGCTGTACAAAAATTTATACATACATTGTTATGTGACCCTAATTGCTCACCCCATTCTGCGACAGCACACTCCTCCTTTCCACCCCTGATTCCCCATGTCCATTCAGCCAGCTTCTAACCCTCTCTGCCTTCCCATCTCACCTACGGACAGAAGCTGCCCGTTTAGTCTCTTGTATCTACTTGAGCTAAGAGGCACACTCCTCACGAGTATCCGTTTATGTCCCATAGTCCCAGTCCAATCCCTGTCTTGAAGAGTTGGCCTTGGAAACTGTTTTAGTTCTGGGCTGATAGAGAATCCAGGGGCCATGCTTTCCGGCGTTCCTCCAGTCTCAGTCAGACCATTAAGTCTGGTCTTCTTACTAGAATTTGACTTCTGCACCCCACCTTTCTCCTGTTCCATCAGGGAATGGCCGTAGCTCTTAACCACTACACCACCAGGGTTTCCTGATCATGCACAGTGCCTTGGATATTACAAAGGGGCCCTGGAGTCTTACCTGTTCATTTGTGCTGGACAGAAGTGCATGGGGTTAACACTAGTACTATCTTCCTTTCCAGGTTTCTGGGTGGAACGGACCCCCGTGCACGAAGCAGCCCAGCGGGGTGAGACACTGCAGCTGCAGCAGCTGATAGAGAGTGGTGCCTGTGTCAACCAGGTCACAGTGGACTCCATCACGCCCCTTCACGCAGCCAGTCTGCAGGGCCAGGTGCAGTGCGTGCAGTTGCTGCTGGCCGCTGGGGCCCGGGTGAGTGGCTCCTTCAGGATGGGCCCCAAGGCTATCTGTAGCCGTGGGAATAGGTGGGAACAAGTCAGGAGACTGCATAGAGTAAGGAAAAGAAAAGGTTTGGGAGTAGCGTTCTGTGATATGCAAACACATGGAAAGAAAGGAAAGCAGTGAAGGAGTCTGAGAAGGAAAGGCAGAGGAAACCAGGATAGGATGTAGTGGAAGCTAAGGGAAGAGGGAAAAGTAGACACTGTCCAGCACACTGGGGACCAGGAAGATAAGGACTGAGAAGTGTTCATGGATTTGGCTATTAGGGGGTCACTGGTGGCTGGAGAGAAGGCAGTTTTAGCAAAATGGTGGCCACAGAACTTAGATTTCAAGGGGTGGGCAACAGGTGAAGACTGGACAGCTTACGCTTTGAACAATTTGGATATAAGGCAGTCAAAGAAGAACTGAAACAAGTTTCATCATGTGCCAAATAGAGGCCGAATTTGGACATACTCTAAGTTTGCCGATTTGAGGAGTTGTCTTTTTCCTGCCCTACAATTTTCAAACTAGAAGAGGCATGTTAAGTGGTTTCAGGCACTCTTTTTATCTGAGGCCTGAGTTAAAACCCACTTTTATACTCTGCCTTTCCCAGCTTGTGACCTGGTGTTCTCCTTTCCCACTCTGTCCTCATTAGGTGTGGAGGCAGTGGAGAGCGAGGCTGAGTTTATCCTGCTCCCGAGGGAAAAGAACCCCAAACAGGATCACTTCTATATTTAGGAGGCTTGTAGGGACTGCCCCAATCATTACTTCTATCTTTGAACTCCCCAGCCTAGCACGGTGTCTTAGCATATAACAGAAAGCCAGTGCTTCTAAGAAGTGTCTTTGCAGAGTTGAATCTGGATGAAGAGAAGGCAAATTGCACAGCTTTTTTCTCCCGCCGTTTGACACTTGTTTCTTTCTCCCCATGAGGTGGATGCCCGCAACATTGATGGCAGCACCCCTCTCTGCGACGCCTGTGCCTCGGGCAGCATCGAGTGTGTGAAGCTGTTGCTCTCCTATGGGGCGAAGGTCAACCCGCCCCTGTACACAGCATCCCCACTTCACGAGGCCTGCATGAGTGGTGAGTCGGGCCGAGGGGCCTCTTGGCCCCACTGTGCTCCCTGGCTCCTGTTTCCCTGTGAGAACAATCCCGATACCACTTGAGGGCTTGTTGTCCCTTGTATTTCTTACAGTGAGCACCACATGTGACCCCCTTTTCTTTTTGCTCCTAAGGAGTTTCACTCTTCTTTCTGGGATGAAGGGAGTTTGGGAAGGAAGCAATACAGACAGGAGATGGAAGCCAGTGCTAGAGAAGGAGAGTTCTGGTTCTGGGTCACTCAGCTGTGGAGATCGTGAGATTTTTGGAGTTGAGGTACAGTCTTCATCCAGAGCTGTGGGCATTTTTTTCTATGGTATAGATTCTGTTTCTTAGCTGAGTCTCCTACTGCATTTCAGATGTTAATAACAGAGGTCAGTCAGCTCTGCAGGCTCTCACTTGTTGTTGCTATAGTTTTGCCCTTGTAAGCTCCTCATCTAGTTGGAACGTGTCTTAGTTTCCTAGTGCCGCTGTAACAGAGGTATCACAAGTGTGGCTTTAAAGAACAGAAATTATTTTCACACAGTTCTGGAGGCTGAAAGTCCAAATCAGGGTCTTGGCTGTGTTGATTCCTTCCTTGTAAGTAGTTCCAATTGTTCCTTGGTTGCTTGGCTTGTAGACGATCCACACATGGCGTCTGTCTTCCCCAGTGTGTGTGCCTTTGTGTCTAATCTGCTCTTTTTATAACTCAGGAATGATTTGGATTTAGAACCAACCCTACTCAGGTATGATCTAATTAAGATAACAAAGAAAACCCCATTTTCAAACAGGATTACATCCACAGGTATAGGGGTTAGGATTCCAGTACATATTTTTGGGTGACACAGTTCAATCCATAACAGGAGGCAAGACCCAAACATGTGCAGGATGATCAGTGCCAGGGGCTGGGCCAGGGAGTAGCTGGGACAGTGTGCTGTCAGGGGAGGGGTGAAGCTGGTCCTAGAGGCTTCAGGGAGCAGGTGGGGTTAGAACTGGACCTCAAAGAACAAACAGATTGCAGATGGTGGGAAGATAAGAAGGCCGCTCCAAGCATTGGGGAAATTACTTGTCCAGTCTCACTGGATCACATGCTCCAAGTATAGAGGCAACAACAGATAAGATTGGATATTTGGGGCGAGACCAGCTGGTGGAAAATTTTTAAGTGAAAGACTAAGGAGTTTGAATTCTGCCCTTTTGAGCAAAGGTTGCAAAACCGTGGCCTATGTTTTGATTGGCTGGCGCGGTGTGTGTTTGTCTTTGAACGCACTTGGTGGGGTGTGCACTGTTATGTGGCTCCACACAGGGCAGTTCCCCCATCATCTCACACCCTGATTCACACATTAGGTCATCTTCTGACACCTGCAGACCCTGGGTATTGCTTCAGGCAGCAGTTGAAGGTTTTTGAGCAGATGTTGAATGACAGGCAAACAGAATTTTAGAAAGGCTAATTTAGTGGCCATTTGTGTATCAAAAGACTGAAATGGTGTTTTGTGGCATGGTAATGGACGGAATAGAATAGATTCACTTAAAAAGCATTGAGGGAAGAATCGATAGGATTTGGTGTGATGGGGAGTGGTAGGGGATCAAAAATGATTCTGAAGTTTGAGCAGGAAGTGATGCTATTGGCTGAAATGGGTTGGCTAGGAACAGGGACCCTGGGAAAGGGGAACAGGGAATGCGTCTTGTTTAAAACATACCGAGTTTGTAGTGAAGCAATGCCCAGTGCCTGCAGGTGTCAGAAGATTACCTAACGTGTGAATCAGGGTGTGAGATGATGGGGGAACTGCCCTGTGTGGAGCCACATAAGAGTGCACACCCCACCAAGTGCATTCAAAGACAAACTCACACCGCGCCGGCCAATCAAAACATAGGCCACAGTTTTGCAACCTTTGCTCAAAAGGGCAGAATCTAAACTCGTTAGTCTGTCACTTAAAGACATCTAAATGAGAATGGTCAGCAGATGGTCGTAGATGTGGGACGGGATTTCAGGGCTACAGGTGGTAATTTGGTAGTTATCTACAACGAAGAGGTAGTTAAGTATGACAGAGGTGGCATCTCAGAACATGCCAAAGAAGGAGAGCAGAGCAGAGAACCAAGGCCTAGATCTTGATCCAAACCCACACTGCAGATACAGGAAAGAGGAGCCAGAGAAAGAGGCAGAAAAGGATTGTTAAGAGAAGCCAGAGGGGAACCAGCTCAGTAAGAAAGTATAAGGGAAATTCATCAAGAAGGCTTAATTTCAGGATACCAGTAGCTATATGTCCTTACTGCCAGGCTTGGTGTTACCCCAGACACAGCTTGTGGATTAAGAGGTGACGAACACTTCCTCTCCCACTGAAGACCCCTGGAACAGTGAAGAGTCTTCTCTGACTATTCATAGGTGGCATTCCCAAACTTTGTTCTCATAGCAAGAGAGTTGGCCATGCCCTCCGTTTCTCCCACCACCATGGGGGCATAGGAGCCCTGGTGGCACAGTGGTTAAAGCCATCAACTGCTAATCAAAAGGTCAGCAGTTCAAAACCACCAGTGGCTCCACGGGAGAAAGATGGGGCTGTCTGCTTCCGTACAGATTTACAGCCTTGGAAACCCTATGGGGTCGCTATGAGTCAGAATTGACTTGATGACAGTGGGTTGGGTTTTGATTTACCGGGTGGGCATGGTGAACCATCCCACTCCTCTAAGAAAAAGAAGAACCCAGGGCCAAGTGGGAGTGGTCAGCTGCCCTTAGGTTGGGCTATAGTTCTCATTTTTCCTTATCTACCCCCACAACTAAGCATGGGGCTTACCTCTTCCAACTGCCATGTGTGTCATATTTATTACTTTAAACGTGTGTATCTGTTGACTCTTTTCTATTTATTTTAAGGAAGTTCTGAATGTGTGAGACTTCTTATTGATGTTGGGGCCAATCTTGAAGCACACGATTGCCACTTTGGGACTCCTCTGCATGTTGCCTGTGCAAGGGAGCACCTGGACTGTGTTAAGGTGCTGCTCAATGCAGGTACGTTGGTGTTTACCTGCACTATGTGTCAGCAGAAAGCTGGGTGGGGCAGTCAGACAGACCAAGGTTTGAAGCTGGCTCTTCCACTTGCCAGTTGACACCTCAGTTTCTATAGCTATAAAATTGAAAAATTTAAACCTGTTTTGCAGGGGTGTTGGGAGGATTAGTGATAACATTTCCACACTACCTTGTGCATAGTAGATGCTGAACAAAAGCTAATAATTATTATTAAGTGTCACAGGGAACCATCCACAATACCTGTCTGATAAGGTTGCTGTCTAAATCAGAAAGAGATGGGACTCTAACATGAGATGGAGTGGGCAATGCGTAGGCAGGGGCATTTGGAATCCAGGTAATTGTGAGGTGTTCTAAAAAGGCTCAGGATAGAGAGGTTCCCAATGTTATCAGGAGCTCTCAGTTTCTTTAAAGGTAACAATAACAACAACAAAAAACCTCAACCAGCCAAAGATTAGGTTCAGCACCTGTCTACAACAGAAGTTTTAAAATGTAGCCGGAGTGGATATTGGCAAGGTGTTTTGATTGTGAATCCAACTGAAATATTTTGTTGAGCGAAAATTTTAGTTTATTCATTTCATTCATTCTCGGTGTGATTTAGGATAAAGAACAAAATTGTTAAGAAATAGAAAGATTATGAATTCTCTTCAGATGATCGTCACTTGAACTTAAGTTATATGTAGTTTTCTATTAGTCTTTATTCACTTTAATGTGCCACTTTTAAGTCTTTTCAGTGAAAAGGATTCATTTTGTATATGGTTATCTATTGGAATATTTTGTTTATTTTTATACAATGGTAAAATACCTAGATTAGAAGCAATCATAAGCTAAGTTACTCATCTGATGGTTGTATCCCATTTCTGTCAACATAGACCAGTATCATTATTGTTGAGTTTTTAAAATAAGTTTTGCAATGCAACAACTCTCTGTAGATTCTGTATATATGTACTCGATACATGTTAATTCCATTTTTTTAGTTCCTTTTTTTTTGTAGCTATAGCGGAAGGTCTCACGTTAGTGTTTTTAACCCAACAACCTTTATGCATTAGTTTGAACTTTATATCAGTTATTACTCCTTTGTAAGTGATAACCTGACCCATTGCCCTCGTGTTGATTCCAACTCATAGCGACCCTGTAGGACAGAGTAGAACTGCCCCATAGGGTTTCCAAGGCTGTAATCTTTACAGAAGCAGACTGCCACATCTTTTTCCCACAGAGCAGCTGGTGGGTTCGAACCGCCCACCTTTTGATTAGCAACTGAGCACTTAACCACTGCGCCATCAGGGCTTCTTTTGTAACTAATAGGAAACCAAATTCAAGCTGGATAAACAATAAAGGGGATTTCTTGGTTCAGATAATCTGAAGGATCAGAAGGAGGGCAGGTTTAAAGATTAGTTTCATTCAGTGGTTCAACAATGTTATCAGGATCTCAGTTTCTTTGAATTTTACTGTTTTTTTTTTTTTAATTGTGTTTTAGGGGAAAGTTTATAGCACAAATTAGTTTCTTATTCAAAAATTTATAAACTGTTTTGTGACATTGGTTGCAATCCCTGCAATGTGGCGGCACACTCCCCCATTCCCTTTCTACCCTGATTTATCTGTGTCAATTTGTCCAGTTTTTCTATCCTTTCCTGCCTTTTTTGTCTTTGCTTTTGGGCAGGTATTGCCCATTTGGTCTGGTATACTTTATTAAACTAAGAAGCACTTTCTTCACATTTGTTATTGTTTGTTTTATAAGCCTGTCTAGTCTTTGGCTGAAAGGTGGACTAAGGGAGTGGCTTCACTTCTGAGTTAGCGGGATGTCTTGGGGCCATAGTCTTAGGGATTCCTCCAGTCTCTGTCAGACCGGAAAGTCTGTTTTTTTTTAATGAATTTGAATTTTGTTCCACATTTTTCTCCTGCTGTGTCTGGGACTCTCTTTTGTGATCCCTGTCAGAGCAGTTGGTGTTGGTAGCTGGGCACCATCTAGTTCTTCTGGGCTCAGGCTGGTGGAGGTTGTGGTTCATGTAATCCATTAGTTCTCTGGACTAATGTTTTCCTTGTGTCTTTGGTTTTCTTCATTCTCCTTTGCTCCAAATGTGATGGGACCAATAGATGTATTTTAGATGGCCACTTGCAAGCTTTTAAGACCCCAGATGCTACTCACTAAAGTAGGATGTAGAACACTTTATGAACTATGTTATGCCAGTTGTCCCCTGAGACGATGGTCCCCAGCCCTCAACCCCAGTAACTCAGTCCCTCAAGGTGTTTGGATGTGTCTAGGAAGCTTCTATAGCTTTGCCTTAATTAAGCTGTGCTGACTTCCTCTATATTGTGTGTTGTCTTTCCCTTCATGAATTTTACTATTCTACTTTCCACAGTGTTAGCTTCATCCCAAGCCTGGCTTCCCTAATACAGTAAGTCCCCAGATTGGGAACGTCTGATTTACAGACAACTCGTACTTGCCCTTTAATGTTTTGTAAATTTGCCCACACTTTAGAACGATTGAACTCCTACTCACGATAAATCCTTCATCACAATCACCTTCATTTGCTGCATGTGCAGCTTTTAAATCATTGAAAAGGCTTGGAGGCTTTCCTTCAGGACTTTGGTTTGAATTCCTGCTGAGATTTTGCATTTCTAACAAGTCTCCAGGCATTGCTAATAATGCTGCTGGTTAGGGACCAGTTCTGAGAACCACTAGTAGAGCAGTGGGTTTCAAAATTTATTATTCATAAGAATCACCTGGGGATCTTTGTTAAACGGTAAATTCTGATTCAGCATGTCTGGAGTGGAAATGCAGATTCTCAGCAGGGGTTCGAACCGGACCGAACAGGTTCGAAGCCTTGCTTTTCTTGCACTAAAGTCCAACTTACCTACAAATTCGACTTAAAGACACACCTAGGAATGGATCTCATTTGTAACTCCGGGAATGCCTGTAATGGCATAATGGCTACAGCAGATTGAATCTTAAAATCCAAATCATTTTCTAGAAGGAGAGCAAAGCTTCTGATAACTTTTTCAGAGGAGTGAAAAATTTCCTTTCCCAGATGTCTCTGGCATACCTCCCCTTATGTCTCATTGGCCAAATTGGGTCCCATTTCCAAACCTAAACCAATCCTTTTGGCTGGAACATTGCCAGGTTCTAATTAACTTGCACCTGGATTATTTGAACTAATTACTATGGTAGGGGAGAGGCATTGGACCAGTCAGGGCCCACACTTGGAGCTGGAGGTCAGTCAGTCTTACTCACCCTTACCCCAATACCCTGCTCCAAATTGCAAGGCAGCAGTACAGTGAGGGCAGTTGGAAGAGAAGTGGGAAGGCAACCATAATGTTCTATATAGCCTTTATCAGGATACCCAGTAGATTTCGAAGGGAATTTCCATACACCTGGGGAATTAAATAATGAATGGGTAGAATTCTCTTGAGGAAGTCTGATTGATGTGATTGTTAGTGTTATTACTTGATGCTTGTTGATACTGTCACATTGTTAGCGCTTCAAAATAACTTAATCCCTTGATTGCTATGCTAATCTTATCAGATGGTCTCATTTAACATCCCTTGTCAGATTAAGTGGATTCTTTTTTTTAAAAACTATTTTTTAATTATGGAAAATTTCAAATATACGGAAAAGTAGAGAAAAGATGAAAACATATCCCTATGTACTCACAAATAGTTTCTTTTAGGGGTGGGTATTGCATACCCCTGGAAAATCGAAGAAAAGCTATGACCATATCCCTAGGAAAACATGCATGCAGGCTATTTTGCATGTCATTTCAAGGGGCAGGAGCCCTGCTTGAGAAGCGAGCTGTGGCACAGCCACATCATACCTCACAGTGGTGGAGACAGAGACTATGGTTCTTATTGCAGGTAGTGGCTCCAAGTTGCTGAACTGTAAATTAACTTTGCAAGGAGGAGGGCTGGCCAAGGTGAAAGTCCAGTTATTATGTGATTTAGTTTATAATCTAATCACTAACAGTAAATATTTAACTCTGCTAGAAGCATTCAGAGGTAGCTAATTGAGGATTGCTATGCTCTCACTTTTTCAGCATAGTCCTTGTCACATTTTTTTAATTATTGTTTCAACAAGCATATATTGAGCTATTTGTGCTTCCTTATGTTCCAGATGTACCAGGTTTTTGGGGTGGAAGGTGCATGTGACAGCCCCTTATCTGGTTTCACCTGCATCTGCTTTAATCCTGTTTTGCTTTGAAACCAGGTTTTTGGTAATGAGTACATTTTGACCCCCTTTCTCTGAAGCATAAAGTTGAAAATTTTTTATGCCCAGGTGGCACTAGTTGTATTGCTGGCTTCTCTCTCTCTCTCTCTCTCTCTCTCTTTCTTTCTCTCTTTCACACACACACACACATCATACTCCTCAGTTCAAAGCACATTATCATCATTGATCCACATAAAGCCACTTTCTTTCCTCCCTCCCTTTCTTCTTTGTTCTATCCTTCTTTCCACCACCTTGCCCTGCAACCATTCTATTGTGTTAATTTAAATCCTTTTATCTCTGTGTTTTTGTAAGATTTGTAAGATGCATGTTGTCATTTGAGACATGTACTTTTAATTGACATGAATGGTATCGTGTTGTATATCTTACTCTATTATTTTGTCACTCAGCACTGTATTTTCAAGGTCCATCTGTGTTGCTATGTGTACATCTGGTCTGTTGTTTCTAACTGCTGCAGAGGATTCCAGATTCCCTTCTTATTCATCATTCCTTCCTTTACACCTGATCAAATGATGCCAAGAGCCTATTTTGAAAAGATCCCACTTCGTACCTTGGGAAGGCCACCTCTTTGAAAGAGTCACCTTGCCTAAGGCCTCATATATTGAGTAATTATAGCAAACAAGACTGAATTCTGACTCATGGTGTCCCCTTGTGTGTCAGGGTAGAACTTGTGCTCTACAGGGTTTTCAGTGATTGATTTTGTGGATCACCTGGCCTTTCTTCCAAGGCACCTCTGGGTGGACTCGAACTGCCAACCTTTCTGTTAGCAGCTGAGCACTTCAACGGTTTGTACCACCCAGGGACTCCAGCAGGACTGAAGGGAGATGTAAATTTTAGACCTATTTTCAGCCATAGTTTTCTCTATGACCTTGTGAGAGTAGCTTTACTTTCCCTGTGTCTCTTTCTCCATTGTTAAAATAGAGACAATCTCTTTCCTTCCCAATTGGCAAGAATATTGCAAGAGTTAATGACATGTGAGACAAGACTTCAGATTCTGTGAACTTTCCAATTTATTTTTCATTTTGTGTTTGCATTTAGCATTCAAATTTATATCTGCATTGTGATTGCAACACTACAAAAATTATTTATTCATATAGGCAGATATTGGAAGAAAACCCTTTATGCGATAGAGTGGTTGGGTTATGGGGAGATTTTTATTTAATTTATTGCTTTAAAATATTATTTTGGTAAAACATTCTTGCCAAGTTAAATAATCAGGTAACTTAGCTGCTTTCATAACTGAAGGATTCTTTGTCCTGACTTGAATTCTGAGTTTTGGCTGTGGGAAGTAGAAGTACTTTTCTTCAGTTGTATTATCATAGTAGAGTATTTACTGTATTCTTAGGATCACATACAGTGAACACTATTATGAACCTAATTCTTATATTCTATTCCCAAACCCACTGCCATCAAGTTGATTCTAACTCATAACAACCTCATAGGATTTCCAAGGCTATAAATCTCCACGGAAGCAGACTGTCACATCTTTCTGCCGTGGAGCTGCTGGTAGTTTCAAACCACTGACCTTTCGCTTAGCAGTTGATTGCTTTAACCACTGTGCCACCAGAGCTCCTTTATATTCTATTAGGGGATTAAAGTATTATTTTAATTCACAAATCAGAAAGCAGCATTTTTCAAATATTTTTTGAGCAGCAGGACTAATAGCCTTATACTCCCTCATTTCCTCCCCTCTTGAAATGTCAAGAATTTCATTTTATTTGGGTCTGCAGTCAACACCCATGGAAGCAGCAGTCAAGAAATCAAATGACATATTGTATTGGCAAATCTACTGCAAAAGGCCTCTTTAAAGTGTTAAAAAGCAAAGATGTCACTTTGAGGACTAAGGTGCAGACACCATGATATTTCAGTTACCTCTTATGCATGCAAACGGTGGATGATGAATAAGGAAGACCGAAGAAGAATTGATGCCTTTGAATTACGGCATTGGTGAAGAATATTGAATATACTATGGACTGTTGGAAGAATGAACAAATCTGTCTCAGAAGACGTACAGCCAGAATGCTCCTTAGAAGCAAGGATGGTGAGACTTCATCTCACATATTTTGGACATGTTACCAGGAGGAACCAGTCCCTGGAGAAGGACATCATGCTTGGTAAAGTGGAGGGGCAGTGAAAAAGAGGAAGACTCTCAAGAAGATGGATTGACACAGTGGCTGCAACAATGGGCTCAGGCATAACAACAATTGTGAGGATAATGCAGGACCAGGCAGTGTTTTGTTCTGTTGTACACAGGGTCGCTATGAGTCGAAAGCGACCCGACGGCACCTAACAACAACTGACTCTCTAAATTTATTACTGTATGGGGGCATGCTGCGAATCTGATCTTTTTGACTTCACTTTTGATAATATTTTATGACTGTGGTTTGAATCTTATTAATTTGGAAGATTACTTTAGCAATAATGGAATATTTGCTTGACTTCTTTATATAGTTTTCTCTTATCCCCCTTGTGGTATAATCTCCTTATCCACTCAGGAGTGGGCTTTGAAGTGTTGGTATTTTCTTCAAAAGAAATTCTGAGGCTCCAGGAGATCCCATTGAATAGAATTGGTGATGGCTGTGACCCAAAAATGATGTTTCAGCATTATTTTTTTAATCAGAATTTCTATTTTCTTGTCTGCCTTGAGCACTATGCTCTTTTAAGAACTACAGTAAAACTTGTGAAAGCCAGAACCTGTGTATGGTGTAAACCTGTCAGAGAAGGAAAACACAAATATTTTCCACTAAAACGAGCAATGGAAAAGTGGTAAGACTGTACCCTGTCAAAGGTGGAAAACTAGTGAGTTCCAGAAAAACAAGGCAGTTCCATTGAGTTCCAGCTCTCACAGGTTTCACTGTGTCTATATGGGATCAAATTGACAGCAGCAACTCGAAAGATTAGATAGGAACCTTGGGGGCAGTGAGTTTATGTTAATGGAGGAGGAACAACTCAGAAAAGGAGGGTGAGAATGGTTGCACAACTCAAAGAATGTAATCAATGTCACTGAATTATATATGTAGAAATGGTTTAATTGGTGTATGTTTTGCCATGTTATATTCTCAGCAACAACAAAATAAATACAGTTTAGAAAGCAAACAAAAACAGAATCTTTATTTTCTTATTCATTTAAAAGATACTTTACTTAGCTATTAATTGTTGGCATCTTTCTGAATGTCAACTATTGTCCTGAGAAAGATTTGGTGGGCACACAGAGTTCATAGTTGAGATACTCTTCTCTGAACTCCATGACTTTTGGGGAAACATTACCTATTCCCTTTGTTCTCCCCTTTTCTAAAAGAATGTTTCCTTTTAAAGAGTACTCGTTCTTTCATTCAACACATCTTTTTAGAGCCTCTGCGCAGGGCCTTCACCAGGAAAGAAGTAGGCTGTGTCTTCCAGGACAGGCAGGTGAGCTTGGGTAGTTCAGCCTGAGCGTTCAGAGATCTGAGGACCTACGGGCAGACGGCGGAGGGTGTCAGAACTGACTTTTAAGTCATAAGGAAGTTTTTTGTTTTGTTTTTCTTCTTTTTGGTTCTACTTTCAGTTCTATTTCTTTATTACTGCTACGCACCTTCAGCCTGCTTCCTATAAGAAAAAAGTAACTCCTGCTTTCAGGTTTTGAAAAAGCTGCAGTAGAGTCTGTTCTGATTGTGTATCGTGGATGGGGATTGCTTTTGTAAACTGTGCTGAGAGCAAAAGTATGTCAGCTTTTCTGTTGGCTTAAAGTTCTCCCCTTGGTGGTATTTGTTCCCCCTCTGGACCTCCAGGGGCCAATGTGAACGCAGCAAAACTTCACGAGACAGCCCTCCATCACGCGGCCAAGGTGAAGAACGTGGACCTCATTGAGATGCTCATTGAATTTGGAGGCAACATCTACGCCAGAGACAACCGAGGGAAGAAGCCTTCCGATTACACATGGAGCAGCAGCGCCCCAGCCAAGTGCTTTGAGTACTATGAAAGTGAGGCCAGGCTTTTCTTTGAAAGTATTTCTACCCATTAGGCTACCAGGGACCTCCGGGCCATCTTTTATCTTTTGCCCCTGGTTTGCTGTCCCTCCTTGAGCCCCAGCTGAGGGCTCTGCCTTTAATCCTAAGGTCCTGACCCATCACCTCTAAGATGTGTTTTGAGTACTGTGTCTGCTGTAGCTGTTTTGTGCTGATGCATCTGCTCTTACAAGGTTCCCTTATAGTTGCAGCATTCACTAACGAGAGTGGAGCCTGTAGCTGGGAGCCGCAGGAAGCTAGCACCTGCCCAGGCACTAAACCTTTCACCAGTGCCTAATCTGTTGGCAAGTTTTATGAACAAGCCTACTTGCCACAGATTAGTTCTTTGTTGACAAATCTGTGTGCCAAATTATAACACTATGGCTCCAAAAAAAATAAATCCCAGTGGACCTCAACCAAATTCTACTTCCTGATCCTCCTTCTTCAGAGCCCTGATTGTCCTTTCTAATAACCTTCTAGATAAGGCATGGAGGGCACATCCCATCTCCAAGGAAAAGGGAGGCTTTTCCACTTCTACCTTAGAATATATTGTGATAAGGATACTATGCCATTTCCTTAAACTGTCTTCACATACTTCCTTGTTCTTTTTCTTTTTCTTTCAGAGACACCTCTGACCCTGTCACAGCTTTGCAGAGTGAGCTTGAGGAAGGCCACTGGCGTCAGAGGACTAGAGAAAGTCGCCAAGTTAAATATCCCTTCCCGGCTCATTGATTACCTTTCCTACAACTGAGCTGCCAGAACAGGAGACCAGGAGCAGACTGGTGATTCACCCTGCACTAGCCACCCTGCTGTGCCCAGTGTCGGATGGAAGAGGATTCTGACTTGTTTGTCTGAAATAGTGTCATTGATAGAGAGAAAACAACGGTCCCTTGAATCCCTTTTGTCCTTCCTGTTTTGTCTTTTCTCCAGAATCCTGGAGGGTATTTCCAAGGCACTAAGAAGGTCCTGGAAACCCTGGTGGCATAGTGGTTAAGTGCCACGGCTGCTAACCAAAGGTCAGCAGTTTAAATCCACCAGACGCTCCTTGGAAACACTATAGGGTTAGTTCTGCCCTGTCCTATAGGGTCACTATTAGTTGGAATTGACTCAATGGCAACAGGTTAAGAAGGCCTGCCTCCACTTCCGTTGTGCTGTGACCTTGTGCTGGTTCTCCCCAGAACTTATGCTTTAACTCCAGCATGGTCTTTCGTTGTCTTAGGACAAGGACAGATTGCTCTAGAAGCACAGGGGAAGGCCTGGTGAGGCTGGGGATTCAGGGCACTGCTGTTGATTTTTATATGCCTGGGAGGAATCGGGCACCTGGCCTTTGTCTCCAAGTCAGCACAGGTGCGGCCATGCCTACTGGGCAGGGCTCGTTCATGCCCTCCGTGTTCACAGGGAGGGGCTGTGCTCCAAAGCTAGGATGAATGGGAGGTCGGGGTCCTGGCCTGCCCAGGGGCCCGGGATGACTGCTTTGCTGACATCTTTTTACCTGGACCCTTTTCTCTGGAGCAGCAATTGGCACTTCCCAAGGCCTGCCTGTGCTGAAGGAGGTCCATCACTCAGGGAGCTTCTTACCAGTCTTGGTGGGGGAAGACTCAGGCTTTTTTTCCCCCACAACTAGCACAGTGTTTCTTAGGAAGTTTTCCTTCAGTTTTAGGTCTCAGCTCTTGTAAAAAGTTATATAGGATAAAAAACTTTTAGAGTATATGTAGGATGCACACTAAGGTATTATGAACGAGTCTTTAAAACAAAAAATAATGTGAAGTCATGTTAGCTTCTCATAGGTAGTCATGAGGCTCTTTCGAATGTAAAGGACTGTTAGGGAACTCTGTAAGTATTATTTTTAACCCATTTCTACCATTGCCAAATGAATTCTTCTCCCACCCTAAATTTTGTTAATTCCTTGAAGCTCTAAAATTAGTAGAAGTCACCAGAATGAAGTGGGTTCCATCAACCATTTATTCATCCATTTTGCAGATATTTATGGAACATCTATTATGCTTCAGGCCCTGTGTTCAGGGCTTGAACTGTATAAGAATCAAGACTCATGATCCCAGGCAGGAAAACAAAATGTTTGTTTTGCAATTTATTCCTATGAAGATAACCCTGATTCTGTATCATAAACCACGAGCTGAAATAGTAGGTAGTATATTCAGACTGCATTTACCTGCGTAAGATTCTGCATCTTAATTTTTTTTAACTAGGAGTTAAATTAGAGGAAATTGCATAATTAGTTCAAGTATATTTAGTTTCTGGGGAAACTGGGAGGACACCACTTGTGAACACTAATGTGAGTCATGCCTGAAGCCAGCGTGCCCCCAAATGGGAACAAGATGATCAACAGATAGTCCCAGGATCTTCTTGGGCCTCCCACCCCCAGAGAGTGCATGGAATAGGATGAGATCAAGTTGGCCAAGCTGATGCCAACTGCACTGCGCCACCAGAGGAATCTCTCTGCAGGATTACATGGGGTCACAGGTCTGGTGGAAAGTCTCATGCTGGCTGCCATGGTATTTTCCATCTCCAGTGCTTTAGCCACTCCAAAGTGGTGCTTCATCTTATCCTGAGAATAAAACCCACTTCCATTTGAGTACAATCTTAAATACACGTTCTGGGTAAATCAATGTTTCTGGATACAATAATACAAATAAAACAGCTCTGGATTCTGTCCCTTCCATCTTTGTAACAGAAACTTGCCTCTAGCAATTAAATCTGATAACATCTCCACACAATATAGCACGTAGCACAGAATCAGGTCCCCGCCCTCTTATTGCTCAATAAAAGTTGTTGAGTAAAGTTCATCCTTGTGTTCATGTGACCCTGTTCTTGTTGGGAGCAGAAGCACTGGAATGGGCTCCATCCTGTGTGAGTGGAGAGGGGTGGTTGACATCTTTCCTGTGTTAGAAAGTCACACCTGTCAGGGAATCACACCTACCTGCCTCTTCTCCTGGTGCTGATTTCAGGGTGGCCCTGATGTGGACTTAGGGGGAAAGAGACCCTGCCCAAAGAGTCAGATGGCTAGATTTCAGGCCCCCTCTACTCTTAAGTCATAGGATGACTAAAGACAAGTTTGTCCACTCCTCTGGGCCTTTATTTTTCCAGATGCAAAACAGGGATAACAGGTCAGACTCTGATCATTAAAATGATTTGATGATCATCCATGGAACCAATCTCTTTGTTTTACAGGTGAGGAAATGCGGTCCCACTAGCTTCATAAGATTTTTGTGAGGCTGAAATTAGGTGATTAAAAGATGCTCTCAAATGTAAAAAGTGCTCTCCAAATGTAAGTTATACAGTTATGACTGTACTATGGTGTTATTGATGTTTGTAGATCTTATAGTTGTATAAGCTATTCTCATCTGCGTTTGGGATGACCTGTTGCCATCAAGTTGATTGCAACTCATAGCAACCCTATAGGGTTTCCAAGGAATGCCTGGTGAATTTGAACTGCTGACCTTTTGGTTAGCAGCCAAGCTCTTAACCATATTCAGAAGACTTCTCAGTTTACATTTTAAAAATTGAAGAAGACATTTGCAACTTATACAACATTATAGGTAATCAAAATATATAAAGGTCTCTTATAAATTAATAAGATAAAGCTTAACAACACACATAGAAAAAAACAGTTAATGAATATAAACAAAATTTATAAAAGAAGAAATCTCAAATATCCAATAATAATTGGAAAGGATGCTTAGTAGTGATCAGGAAAATGCAAATTAATGAATATTTAATTCAACGAAATGACACCATTATATACCATCATGTTGACAGATAATACAAAGTCTGAGGGTTTCATAATGTTGATGGTCATATGGGCAAATGGGAACTCATAGACTGCTAATGGGGGGTAAAAATTGATACATCTACTTTGGAGAGCTATTTGATTATATACAATTGAAGGAGCCCTAGTGGTGCAGTGGTTAAGTGCTTGGCTGCTAACCAAGAGGTCAGGGGTTCGAAACCACCAGATGCTGAGCAAGAGAAAGATGTGGCAGTTTGCTTCCATAAAGATTTACAGCCTTGGAACCCCATGGGGCAGTTCTAGTATGTCCTATAGGGTCGCTATAAGTTGGAATCGATTAGTTTTTTTGGTTAATACAACTGAAAGTGTGGATACGCCATGTTCCCAGTAATTCTACTTTTATAAATACCAAGCCCTAGAGAAACTCTCAGACAACACAAGGAAACATGCATGAGGATGTTTAATACAGCAATGTTTGTAATAACAAAAGATCCTATCAGTAGGTGATAAATTGTTCAATATATTCATATAATACCTATACTATATAAAAGTTGGAAACCCTGGTGGCGTAGTGGTTAAGAGCTACAGCTGCTAACCAAAAGGTCAGCAGTTCGAATCCACCAGGTGCTTCTTGGACAATTTATGGGGCAGTTCTACTCTGCCCTATAGGGTTGCTCTGAGTTGGAATTGACTTGCAATGGGTTTGATTTTTTTGGTTTTTTATATAGAAGTTAAGATGAATTAGAAGTTGTATGTTTTAACACAGATGGTAGGTGAAATAGATGGTAGATTTTGTTTTAACACAAAAATATAATGGTAGGTGTCTTTGGCTGGGTTCTCTAAAGAAGGAAAACCAGTGAAGTGTATATGTGTGTGTGTGTGTGTGTGTATGTACAGAGAGACAGAGATACATTTATATCAAGGAAATAGTTCACATGGTTGTAGAGGCTAGAAAGTCTGATGTCCCTGGGCCAGACATCAGGTTGGAGGCTTCTCCTGACTTATGTAGCTGCAGGTGCTGATGAACCCAAGATCAACAGGTCAGGTGGCAGGCTGCTGGCTCAAGGGATGTGGAGGCTGACAAGTCTGAGATCGACAGGTAGGAGGGCAGGCTGCTGGCTGAAGTCTGAAGAACTGGAGTTCAGATGATGATGAGCCAAATGCAGGATCCAGAGCGAAGCAAAAGCCAGCAAGCTTTTCCAGAAAGTTCGTATATATTGGATGCAGTCCAGACCTCCAAGAAAACTCCCTTTCCACTGATTGGTTGCTCATAGCAGATCTCATCATTGAATGATTACATTATGTCAGTTCTTATCATGGAGGTGATTACATCATTACATAACTGCCTAACTATATCATAACCACCAAACCACTGAAAATCATGGCCCAGGGAAGTTGACACACAACCTTAACCATCACAGTCCACCCCTTGTCAGCTTGGACCTGTACACATCTCCTTAAACCATACATAATCTCTAAATAAACAATTAAAAAGTCATATTTGGTGCCTAACATGATACAACTAACACATGTACAACTGAAAACGTACTAGCCCTGTATACGTATTTCTATATTTATATTTACAGCATATTTTATTAATGAAGAAAACAAAAATATTTGATGCGCATATGCAAGGAAGAAATACTTATAACAATTACAGTCTTCATTTTCACAACTAGTCATGTGGTCATAGCTGGTATTTAGAACTACCTTTTTTGACCACCCATTCTGTATTCCCTTTACCCTCAGCAAGCACCTCAGCTGGTTGTGGTTCTTTGCTTGGTGGGGTGACCCAAACTTTATTCCTGAAGGGTCTGGGCCATTAGTAGTCATGTCAGAGTTGAGATCCTGTAGTTTTCCATTGACTTTAATCACAGGGCATGGTAGTACTGAGAGACACCCTAAGGATCTCTTGCATTCCAGACATACCCTTCTTTACCTCCATTATGTAATATCAATCCAATTTCCTCTTGGTAATCATGATCAATCACACCAGCCAATATGCTAACTCCCTTCTTTGCCTGTTGATCCAATCATAAGGAGCCCATAGTGGCCAGGTGGCGGTTCACTGTAATTAGTGATGAGTCTCCAGGTGTGAGCATTCTTCCCTTTGGAACAAAGACCTCTAGACCTGCAGAGCACAGGGTAACGGGACAAGAAGCAAAAATTTTTCGAGTGGGTCACTTGGGGTAATAGTGAGTGGTGCCACTCCCATCCCTACCACTTGATACCTGGACCCATGAATCCTGGCTATGGGAGAAACAGCATTATATATTGGATGCTGGTTTAGAGCATATACAGCCTTCTGGAGAACATTGCCCCAACCTGGCAAGATAAAGCTACCTAGCTGGTCCCATAATGGTGTCTTTAGAAGACCATTCCATTGTTCTATCAATCCAGCTGCTTCAGGGTGATGTGGAATATGGTAAGACCAGTGAATTCCATGAGCATGGGCCCATTGCCACACTTCATTTGCTGTGAAGTGAGTTCCTTGATCCAAGGCGATGCTGTTTGGGGGAACATGACAGTAGATAAGGTATTCTGTAAGTCCATGGTTGGTAGTTTTGGCAGAAGTATTGCATGCAGGGAAGGCAAATCAGTATCCAAATTAAGTGACTATTCCAGTAAGAATAAAGTACTGTCCTTTCCATGACAGATGTGGTCCAATGTAATCAACCTGCCACCAGGTTGCTCAAGGAATGCTGCCGTATCCAGAACTGTGTTGGTCTCTGCTGCCGGCAGATCAGGCACTCAGCAGTGGCTGTAGCCAAGTCGGCCTTGGTGAGTGGAAGTCCACGTTGCTGAGCCCATGCATAACCTCCGTCCCTGCCACCATAGCCACTTTGGTCATGAGCCCATTAGGCAATGATGGGAGTGGCTGGGGAAAGAGGATTACTGGTTTCCACAAAATGCATCATCCTATCCACTTGATTGTTAAAATTCTCTTCTGCCAGGGTTACCCTTTGGGAAGCATGCACATGAGACACAAGTATCTTCAGTTCTTGGCCCAGTCAGAGAGGTCCATCCACATACCTCTTACCTATACCTCTTTGTCACCAGTCTTCCAATCATGTTCCTTCCAAGTCCCTGACCATCCAGTCAAACCATCGAATCAGTTTACAAATCAGTATACAGCCCAATAATCGTACATCTGGCCATTTTTCCTTCTAAGCAAAGTGAACAACCAAGTGCACTGCTCAAAGATCTGTCCATTGGGAGAATTTCCCTTCACCACTGTCCTTCATGGAGGTCCCAGAAAGGGGCTGTAGAGCTGCTGCTGACTGCTTTCAAGTGGTGCCTGCATATTGTGCAGAACCACCTGTAAACCAGACATGAATTTTCTCTTCCACAGTCATCTGATCGTAAGGAACGCCCCATGATGCCATAGGTGCAGACTGGGAGAGTGCAGGTAATATGACAGTAGAGACCATGGGCATTTGGGCCACTTCCTCATGCAACTTACTTGTGCCTTCAGGACCTTCTCAGGCCCAATCTTTTTTTTTTTTTTTTTT